GGGAGCTTGGACAAGGGTAAAACTCAAGGATCATAAAAAGTCTTATCAATGCAATTTCGTGTAAATTCTAAATATCCTATAATAGAGACCATAAAACAAAATCCCTTCTGTGACAAATTCAATTATCTTCAAGCTGGTTCAAGACTCAGCACATGTTGTATATTATGTTGGACATGTGTCCATCGAGTTTTCTGGATGCACCAAGGCAAACATGTGCTGGACACATATTCATAGACATTCATTTGGTTTCCATGCATCACAATCAAGTACTCTATACTGGTCTAGAATGAAGCTTAAACCAATTCTCCTGGTATCACATCTATGCGGAGAGATGACTAGTGTAGTGTCTATCCCGTTGACTGGTTATTTCTAATGAGTGGGAAATATCAAATGTTTTTCTCATAATAAAGGAAAAAGATATTCAGACTAGTATTCTTCTTCTTCTTTTTCCCTTCCTATATGTATCTTACCAAGAGTAGTGGCTAGTTTTTACTGCCATCAGAATATCTATTTTTCAGCATGTCTACGTGTATACCCAATCCATAAAATCCTGAGCCACTTTTACTTTACCCTTTCGAGAAAGACAAATGAGATATTTTATAGCTCATATGTATTTCAGATACAAATCATGCTAGAGAGGCATTGTGTTTTTGAAGTATATTTGTTTCATTGTGCATGTCTCCGGACAAAGTAACTCAAAGGCTCCTGTCTTTTCATGTGTATAGGGTCAGCTAAGAGTAAAGCTCTGAATTATGTAGGCCTACATAAGAATAGGTCAACCTAACAACGCTTCAAATATGGAGTAAAATTCCCATTTGAGAAACCAAGAATGTTGGTTGGTTGATAAGAAAATCCAATCTTACACAGTGTATGTTCAGCCAACGAGGAAACAGGTCTCTAAAAGTCCCTATATCATGGAAAAGGCTGGATGGTGATGGAAGATGGCAAAATCTGCTTTAAGGCATTAGCTTGTTGGCATACATCATTTCTGTTGGTTTTGAGTTAGAATATATAAAACAGAACTGAAATGAATTCCCATATGCAGACAGCGAGTGATAAGTCATCGACCTTTTGTGTTCTGGTTGTTCCTGCACGAGAGAAGTTCCCCTGCATGTCGAGTAAAGTTTTGTATCTGGAGAACTGGGATAGTTGCCAACTTTCTACAACATTTCAGAAGGAATTTGGAAATAATATAGAAAAAAACTAGCCTTCATATTTATGATCCAGTACCACTGAAATAAGCATGTGAGTATCAATGTATCATATAATGGCAGAATCACCTGCATGACATTTTTCCTCCGCATTAACAACATATGCAAAAGGGATTTTTTTTAATACATCATTGGAAAACAACATATCAAAAGGTTAATAGAAATGAGCGTCATTAGATATTTGAGATGCAAAAAAGGTACTGAAGAATGGAGGAGGCGATTTCAGCAACTATTGGAGTAAATGTTAGGTCTGTCTCCTTTTCTGTCATGTAACCATTTTCAAATCAAAATTGCATAAAAGCCTAAATTGGTCAATATTTTTCATTTTTTTTTACTTATCACGCATTTGTACATATTCCTGAGATAGTTACTGTAGATAACATTTCTTAAGGTGATATAAGGTAATTGCATATGGTTAAGATTTTACAGCAGAACTCAAAACTTTTATGGGTTATTTCGATATTAGCCCCCAAAATCTTTGAAATTGATCTCAGGCCCCCTAAATCTTAAATATTTTGATATTAGCCCCCTAAATTCTTTAAAATTGATCTTAGGCCCCCCCAAATCCTATTAGTATACTGAAATAAGACCCCCTTGAAATGGAGGAATTTTTGTTTACTTTAACTTTTTCAGTAATTTGCCAGTCATACTCCTCCCACACAAACCCAAATCCCTTAACCACTTTAACTTACTTATTAAGCTCCCCAAATGCATTTAATAAAACCCTAACTCAAACACATTTTCCACATCTTCTTCTCCAATGTCTTCCCCAAATAGCTCTCTTCAGCTTTAATCCCAAATTTGTATTGGATAGATTTGTGTTTAGGAAGACGTTAGAAAGACGCTGGAGAAGATGAAGTGGGAAATGAGTTTGGGTTTTATTAAACAGATTTGGAAAGCTTAATGGGTATAAGTTAAACTGGTTAATGGGTTTGGGTTTGTGTGGGAGGAGTATGGCTGGCAAATCACGAAATTTTTTAAATTAAACAAAATATTCCCTCATTTTAATTAGATTTTAACTAGGAGGATTATTTCAACATACTAATAGGATTTGGGGAGCCCGAGACAGTTTCAATGATTTGGGGGCCTAATATCAAAATATTGAAGATTTGGGGGTTAATATCAAAATAGCCCAACTTTTATAGATGAGATATGAGATAGTAGTTCACATGTACTCCACAAATTGCTTCATTTCCTTACCATTTAATTTCACAGGGAAGTTAAGAATAATGCTGAACAGTTAGGTACAGGTTGATAAGAGTACGAAAATTAACGTTTGAGCTCTGAGTCAGTTAATTGTAACATTCAGCATTTGTGTATGTTTATATTAAAGTTGTATTGGATACGAAGGCTACACGTAGGTTAATCTTTTTTTGGTCAATTGATATCTCATCATGCATAAAATGTCTCTGAAGCTTTTTTTTCTCTCCATTTCTTCAATGCGCGCATTGCAGTGGATCGGGTTGCCAATGTGAGCTGTGCCCAATGCCGCACTACTCTAGTATATCCCTATGGAGCACCCTCTGTTAAATGTGCAATATGTCATTACATTACAAATGTTGGGGTAATGACAGAGACCCTTAGTTATTTACTCTTCTTTCCTTCTATGTCATGATGGGATGTTATTGTAGCGTAGAAGAGTTACATGTCACTTTACTCTATGTAATCATAATTTCCTTCCCTTTCTTTCTTTGCAGATGGGTAGCATGAGGGTTCCAATCCCTTTTAATAGGCCAAATGAAGCTGCAGTTAATACACCATCTACTTCATCTGTATGTGTATTTCATTTATCTTTACCATGTTTGCTTCACTGTTATAAAACCAAAACTCCATTGCCCTTCATTAATCTTTTTATTTGTGACGCAGTCTAACAGCCAAACAGTTGTTGTTGAGAACCCCATGTCGAGGGATGCAAGAGGCAAACTGGTATGTTCAATATCCTTCTTTTTCTGTGGCTTGTGCAATTGCTGGCCGTTATATCATTGACATGTGATCATATCTGCAAAGGAAAAGCCAGATTCACCTACCAAGCATTCAATACCGTCCAGTTTGAGCAGCTTCATGAGATTCATCCCTGAGGCCTAGCTCAGTGTTAAAGGGTTGGGGCTGAGTTGTGGGAAGTCCCAACTTCAACACAGAACTGGTCAATAACAACAATAGAACTTCAGCGAAAAAGATAGTTCAAACTCCAATAGCTCTTTTAGCAGTAAGGGGTTCCATCTATATGGCAACACTTTGGTTTGCGTCTGTTCGAATATAGTCCTAATAACATTTACTTCTCTGCATCAGTTTTACATCCAGTGAGAATAATTAGTGAAAAGCCAACTGAGGAAAATTAGGCAGTGCCTGTGAAGTTTTTTCTTTCTTCTAATTAAGCTTAATAAGCACCGCACCGCACCGCACTGTAGGGACCTCTATTTGTATCAGCAGAGATCGGTAATAAGGGTCCAGTTTAATGCTTTCACCCTAACTGATGCAAGCTGAGATCTGTAGACATGTTCCTATGGATGGACTGTGGTTAATTAATTACTGAAGCTCTTCCTTTTCATTTAATTTGTTGCAGGTAAGCAATGTTGTAGTAGGGGTCACCACAGATAAGAAGTGACTTCTAAATGATGTCCAGGTGTTGCGTGATGTACTTGCTATTGTGAATTCAAAGTTGATAATTGTCCTCTATTTTTGGGAACCTCAGCTATGTGAAGGGGTACATATGAACATGAGGACATGAGAAAAGTACTAGTGTTTATAATATAAAAGTGGGCGTCGCACTTCATTAGACTTGGAGGTCAATATTTTTTACATTTTGGCAGTATGGAGCGTTAATCTTGGCTGCCAAAATATGATTGTGTGAGTAACTTCAGTTTCGTATATATATTGAGAATAAGATGGGAAGCAATATTTTACTAGCTTCATTTTCTTTATTGCGTTTTATATATATATATATATATATATATAACTTTTTTGAGAATGTAATCAATGTATCTTGTTGTCTGCGTTTGTTCATGTCTGGAAGTCAGTATTTTGATGTGCTTTTTTCCTGCATAAAGTTTAGTTGTCACAAATTATTAAAATTTTTGTTATGGAAGTACTTGCATGTCATCCATTTACATTTGTCAAGATCTGAGGAGCTTATTATTGGTGCCAAATCTTTTATACTGTGCCATTTTGCTGACGGTTGAAATCTATTGGAATTTGATGTTCGTGGGTATAATAGGCCTAAACAAAGAAGATTAGAATCCTTCTTAATGATATTTTATTCTGGGTTCTCTTGGACTTGCTCTTTCATTATTAGGCGGATAGGTTTGAATTTTGCTAACCCCTATTGTTAATACAATAGTTAAGTATATAAAAGTCCGTACAATTCGGGAGGCTGGTAGAGTGTTGCTTTCAAGAATCTCAAACAAATGATTAAAAGGTAAGCAGATGCATGTTTTCTGTGTTAATATATATATAATAAATACACACGCTCGCTCCCCAAGTTGGATTCAAACAAATGTACTACATGATCAATTTTGTCATGGTTAACCGGCTGTTTAAAAATCAAAGTTTTTTAAGTTGTAGACTAGTAAATGTAATTAAGATTAACCATGTGAACCTAACTAATTGGTGTTGTACTTTGTTTGTAAATGAAGGTTAACTGTGTAGGAACAGACTAATTATATTTGATAGCGTACATTATGTATGATTTTTCTTCATGACGTTTGACTTTGGATTGCTTCGGTGTTTTACATCAATAAGTTAAACCATAATTTACTTCAAAATTTTCAAATTACAAGAATATGTGTCTCTTTCTATTTTGTTTTCTTTTCATTTTAGTCAAGGACTTGTTGTTTTAGACGAGTGCCAAGGATAAAGAATCAAAGAATGCATACCAACACGCCCGCGCACACGTCCTCCATTAATCACTAAAGGCGCGTGATATGCAAATATGACTATATACAATTGAGTCCAATTCAGAAGCAAATTAAATAGAAATTTTTTTACATGTTGAAAATTTCCCAAACTCCACATCATTTTATTCTTCTCAAAGCCAAGGTCGGCTGCAATTAGTCTTTCTACACCATGTGTCGTCTAATGAAGATATCGACACTTCAATTTTTCATATTTTTCCATCACAAACATTTTAAAAATGATACTAAACACACACTGTTGAGATCAATTGTACTTGTTTTCTATTAAAATTTTTGGGGTCGGCTCCATGAATTATTTTTGCTTACTTACTCATATAATCTTTCATTTATATGTCTGCAAATAAATATGTACAAACTAATTTGGACTAATTAACATCTTTGTTCTTGCTTCTAATTACCAAAAAAAGACAATCCATTCTGACTCAAATAGCTCTCTATACTTCCTTCCCCAAGATTTGGATGTGGCTCCTCCTCCTGACTTCCCTCCAACTTGGTCAACTGACTTAAAACTTCCCTAATCACCTTTTTATCGCAATCAAACTGGTTAAAGCCCGAGTCCAACTCAAAGCGTGCACCATGATTCTTGAAGGCCGTGATCGCCGGAGCCGGTGGGTTGGCCCGCCGTAGGCTTGCAGTTGCCGGTGAGCTCTGGTGGAGGAGCTTGGAGAAGCAGGGCACTTGCTCGTAGCCCTCCAAGCTCATTGGGGTTTGTCCAAAGGTTATGTAGGTCTCCATCAATGGAGGAAGGGAGGAGGAATAGCTTCTGTCTTCGTACTGATAATTATTAGTATCTACGCTTGGTTTGGATGAGAGGCATCTGCTCTTGTAGAACACTCTGCATAACACCCAACCCTCCTGTTTATGCAATTAAACACGCAGAATTCAAAGAGATAAGCTAGTCGTTATACAGTAAATTAACCGGTTAAGAGTTTTCATTAATTAATCATATACAAAAACCTGCAATTAACATCTCGATCAGTTAATGATTTGAGGACAGCATGTTATATATGCGGAAGAAAAAAAGCACATATTCATATAGCAGACTAACAATATATTTACCTTTCAGACGCATCAAGTTGTCACGTAAAATAACAGTTTGTTAATTAATTTTCCTCTGAGCGTAATCTATCCTAAATTACTTCATTTTTTCACATGACAAAAACACATGAATCAAGGAAAATCAACAAAAAAAAAATTGAACAAGACAATTGATATATATATATATATATAAAGTAATTTTAATTGAGAATTTTTATATAATTAAGAGATTATACCTCGACGGCAAATCTTGGCGCGTCAACCGCTACTTCCATACGAAATTCATGCATGACCCAGTCGGTCTTCCTTCCCTTTGGCGCCCTACCTTGATAGAATACCAATGTTTTTCTCATCCCCACAAGCGTGCCCTTTCGGCTTATGTGCCTGTCTTTGCCCGTGGCCTTCCAGTATCCTGCTGCCGTCGCCCTGTTTGTTCGCTGTCCTGTTGCGTACTTCCGATCACGAAGGCTGTAGAAGTACCACTCTTTGCCTCCGACGCATGCAATTTCTACGGACAGAGATGACTGCTAGTTAATTGTGCACCGTTTTGTATTGAAGGTTTGATGGACGGAGATTTCGTAAATAATACTAAATACAGAGATTAACGTTGGCACCCATCGGAATGGTGTCGTGGTGTAGTTGGTTATCACGTCAGTCTAACACACTGAAGGTCTCCGGTTCAAGTCCGGGCGACGCCAGTCTTTTTTTATTTCTTTCTTTTTCTTTTAAACTCATCTTCTAAGATTTGACCTATTGGTGTGGTTTCATGAATTTTCATTCTTAATTTGGCTTCTTAAACTTTCTACAAACTCAGGTGCGCTTTCCTTCTTGGGATTGTGAGGTACATAAAGTTAGGCAAGGGATAAATATTACAAGGAACACGGGCGCATGAAGTCACGAAGAGTTTTGAGAAATCAGCATTAATTGGATAAACCCTCGCAAGGAAATATCTTTCTGTTATCGGTGAATAAAAAGACCAAAGGAAAGTGGCTTACTTATTTGGACTCATTCATATATGACATGATATGACTAACATACTTATCACCCTTCTTTTATTTTAAAAAAAAAATTTGAAAAAGGAAAAGAAAGAAAAGACTCGTAGGAAGGAGTGGCAAGTTGGTCATTTTTCTGAACTAAAAGATTATGGCAGAAAAAGAAGAAATTAAAATACAAGGTACAGAAGGAACAAAGACCGTTTCAATTTTTTCCCCACCTCCCTCGCTCCTTCAAATGCCAACGGACAAGCCAAATAAAGTCTGTACGTACCTTGTATTCCTCAATTATTGAGAGTCATACAGTCTGGTAATTAAGCTAAATATTACAGAATAGTACTCATAACTACGGAACTGACATGATAACAGCCTCCGTCTTATTACCAGGAATTAATATCGTCACTTTCTTTGATATTCACGCCCGGCCAACATTAATTAGCTGATTAGAGAATATTATTATCTACTTTGGATATAAACTAATTAAAAAACTATCTGGCAAGATGGACTCGTAAAATATTCCAATTTGAACCCACATAATAATATTATAAAGCTCACAATCCGGCCAATTTAATTAAATGTCCGAAAACATAAACTTAACCTGATCAACTAATTAAAACACATGAAGTTACATATATATGGATGATTGAACACTCTTAATTGCAAAATTATTTGAAGTCACGTGAATTAATTAGACTTAACAGTGAATCAGGACAATCATGCAATAGTGAGGAACAGTAATAGTGGTAACAAAACAGTGTAGTTTATTGTGCACGTAATTAATAGTTTGTGATCTAACCAGGAAGATCCCACGGCTCGACCTTGTTGAGATCAACGTCGATCATCGTAGGGAAACCGCACGAGCTTCCAGTACCGTTATCCCCTGAAATTTTCTTGCCCAGATAGTCGCAGACCAGCTCTTCGTCTCTCGGGTGAAATCTGAACCCTGGAGGCAGCCTAGCCTCCATCATACTCAAACAGCTGCTCATGGTGGGAGCTGAGAGATCGATATATATATATATGATGGATCAGATCGAGAGCAAATTACCGGATGAGAGATCAGTTGAAGATGGGGAGGGGCTCAATGAGAACTCGGGCACGAGGATAGGGGGCCTTTATATAAAGAACAAGCAGTCACAGGTCAACTTCGATCCTGAAGGCGTATATGGATGAATGAGATGGTAAGCCCCCCGCCAACTCGATCGGCATGCTGCTGATGTGTACATAAGGCCAGCAGCTTCGGGTGACAGTTGTAGTAAGGTAGGATCAGCTGTCGAGCCTAGAAGAGCAAAGCAGCCGAGCAGACGCTCTCGTCTGGAAGTGGGCCCGATCAGTTACGGACCAATCATCATATGTGATATGCTGAACCCGAAACCAACCCAACCCGACAAACAGTGTCGTTAATCCGTTCGTATTGGACCCCAGCTAGCTAGCGCTCATGAATCACGCATATATATATAAGTCACACCAATACAGTTACAAGCATGAGATCAGCCTACCGGCGCAAATTCGTGTTTCCCGTTTTCAGAGAGCGGACAGCAGGATTTGTCATCCACGGATCCACATCCACCCCCTCTCCCTTTACCTCGCGATCGAATGCGAACATGACAGTATTCTTTCATCCGTTACACAGCTCATGCGTGTTGACAAATTAAGGTATCCGTTAATTATGAAACCAACACCACCAGCGAAGAGTACTAGTTGAACTCTTAGCCCACTTTTGGCGAAGGGTTAAAGGAAGAGGGGTTAAAGAGAAGGATTAATGTACTTAATTAGCTCATTCAATAATCTGAAGGACTAAATTATTAACCCGTTAAATAAGATTTATTTTAGCCCTTGTGATCAGTTTTAGTGTTTGGGAATAACTTTGATTATTTTCTTTATAATTTATAAAAGATTAACTTTTAATCCTTCTAAATAGGAGTATTAGTAAGCCCCTCATTTTAAGGGGTTAACTCATTTTAATCCCTCTGGAGGGGTTAGCTTAACCCTTCTATATTTTTTATGTTTGGCGAATTATGGGGGGTTAACTCACTTTAACTCTTGTATAGACTTTTTGTGTTTGGCGGGTTAAGAAGGGGTTAAATCTCCTTAACCGCTCACTTAACCCTTTGTCAAACGGTACCTTAATTTCCATTGGCAGTTTAATTAATTAGCCAATTATATATGTGGAAAAATTTTCGATCAGGCATATATAAGCACGTGCCCAGGGTTCCCTGTGCTATTTTATTCGCATTAATTCTTGGGAGGTGCTACAGGCACACCCTCGGACACACCCCACCTCTAGTTACTGTGCAAGGGGCTCCACTTAAGGTTTTTAAAAAATCTCAAGTTTGTAGTTGCTAGAGGGTGGGTGTGGCGGAGGTGTGCCGGTGTGTGTGCATGTAGCATTTTTTCTTAATTCTTGAGTTTCAGTTTGAAGTTGCATCGTCCGCGTCGACATTGATTGGATCGTCGTCGTGGGCCGCTCCTCTCGTTCCTCCACGTGGTCTACGAATGTCCAATCGAAAACTGCAGCCGTCGGATCGTAATCAGAGGGATAAGGACGCACGCGCTCAGAAACAGCTGCGCACTAAAATTTAAGGGCCTTCTTAGCGCCACCACCAGCTTCCTTACTTGGATAGCAATGTTTCTTGTTATCTAGCAGCCAGGGCACCGCGTCGGATTCAAGAGGACCCTAGGATGGGCCATCGTCGGGCTGTGGCAGTCGAGGTCGACTCCGGGGCCCAGCCCGTTCGGCATTTAGCGATCGATTAGCTAGCAAAGGAGGAGGAGAAGGGGTACTGGGGTTGGGCCCGCGAGGATGATGATGATGATGACGGTATTAGGCAAGATTACGTAGGTCGTTAGGCATCCTCTAGCTAGCCCCTAGCTATTATAGGGGGTAACCCTTTTGCTTGTCACCACTTGGTCGGTCTTGACCTAATCCCGTCCGTTATTAGGCAATTAATCTTCACCCTGACCCTCTCTCTCTGTCTCTCTCTCTCTCAAACCGTACGTCATCTCAGGACTTTGTCAATTGACGACGTAATCTGGGCCGTGACGGGGCATCCCAATGCGATAGGACTCCTGTGTATAAGCTTGGACAATTCAATGAAAAGATACTCCAAGATCTTCTCCCAAATATTTCACGTCACACCAAAAAAAAAAATTATATACGATGCATTACATATATATCCACGTACAGCATTGACCCCATCCTGACGAGCAAGGGAGATTCATAATTAATCAGACATCATTTACAATTAATCTACAACGATATGAACAACAAGAAGATTGATCAAATTAACACGCTGGATGACTAATAATATTAACAGATTAATACATAAAGCACATGCATCTCAAGATGAAAGCCGGAGGAAATTAATATAAGAGTAGTACGTTCTGTAGTTTCACTTGTAACTAACTGAACTTCAATTTAAAAGGTAATTAAATTAAAGAAACTGATCACTAGCTTGAGCCTATTTTCAGACTTTTTGACTCTCTGTGCTAGCTAAGTGCTGTATAATATTACAAATGAAAGTATTAATTTATAAGAGTTAATTAATCACTGACGTCCGTAACTATATATGAAAAGGGGTCGCACGTGTGAAGCCTAGCTCGTGCCGATCTCATCAAAATTCTCCTACTGAAACATTAAATTATATAGCCAGTATGATTCAGAGTCAAGTAAAGGTGATCACCTCAACAATGGAATAATCTTAATTTTTAAGACTTAATGTCAATCAAACCTTCAGCAAAAAATTCTATGGAAAGCTCAATTTGGTGACGGGTAATATATATTATAATGAGATGCAAATTGAAATAAGGGAAGCAGTACTCCAGGCCCTCCTCGTTAAACAATATTTAATTAGAACATTGTGACGATCGACAAGATAAAGAAGCTGAAGAGTCAAATGTAGTTAGGTAAACTATAAAGTCGACCGAAATACAATTAAGTGTCGACATCGCACCAAACTACTGATCATGATAGCTTAAATACTTTAATTATAATTTGGATAATTCCTGAACGTAGGTCCTTGTTTCCATTTGAGGAGGGAGAGAAGAAATTAATTAAGCAGAACATCACAAAACTGGATGTTGCCGCTCTCCTTTCAAAGTGGAGACAAATTAATGTGAGCCCAAGCGTCTTCCAACAGCTCATGAGTACAACTTGGGACCTCATCTGATCATTAATTTGCTGTTTGATTAGGACGATACAAAAAATAAAGAGCATATTAATTTTGATGTGTGTGTGTGTGTTTGATCGCAAGAGAGAGGAAAGAACGGTGGCGTTAATATATATTTTGGAACGTAAGAGGGAGCATTAATTATACTTTCAACCCAATAGGAATAGTTTCGTGATATGTCACATATTGCTTCATGGATCACTGTGCGTGAGCTGTTTCCGATACAATCCAAGTCAATTCCTTAAGGGGCTGTTTGGTTGTTGTTGGTAAAGTTGTGTATTTATGACACAACTTGGAAAGTTGTTGTCCACCTCATCAATTTCACTTTTATATTTTTCTTTGTTTGTTTTTGATTCCATTGGAATCATAAAACACTTGTTTGGTTTGCAAAATGAAACTTTAATTGTTTGTTTGGAAAGTGTAAAAAGTGGTCCCTACTCAAATGATCATATTGGTTGGAATTATTTTTTATTATTTTTTCCTAACTTCAATGTTAGCTTTTTTCTAAAATCATGTCTTTTTTTCATGAAATCACTTTACAAGCCACATCAGCATATGAAACCACTTTACACTATTTTTACAACTACAAACAAACAATTGAAAGTGATGAAAGCTGACATTGGGACCCACTTTTTTACACTTTACATCCTTTTACATGGTAAAAACATACAACCAAACAGCCCCTAAGCTCCTTCTGATATTAATTAACAGAGCTTTGCTATAGGGAACCAAAATATGTAACAAACAGAGGGGACATGCGATCGAGGTGTCCCCCTCCTATTGCATAATAAATCGGTCATCATTAATTATGAACAACTCATTATGCAATAGGAGGGGGACACATCATCACATGTCCCCATGTTGGTCTCATATTTTGTATTCTTGGAGAATTTTTCTAATTAATATTAATCATAACAATATATACAGTAATGACAAAGTCTTAGGGAGTACCTACTACCTACATGATTCTTTCCCCGTGTAATTAACAAACTATATAACTATTAAATAACAGTCGCTGTCATCGTGTGACATGGTATGGAGGACCTAAGACCCCAAGACTTTCATTAATAGCAATGTCAAGTCATGAGCAAAGTTGTTCAATCCCAAAAATTTAATTTAATGCTACTAGCTTTGGCAAATTAAATTAAGAGTGCTGCTACGGGGACCCAAAATATGGGACCAAGGGAGGGGACAGATGAGGTGTCTCCTCCCTATTGCATAATGAGTTGGCATGACTAACTCATTATGCAATAGGAATGCGACACCTCACTTGTCCCCTCAATTGGTCCCATATTTTGGGTCCTTAAATCATTTTCCTT